CCAAGCCGTGGAGATGTGGGGTGAGGGACACGGGGCAGTGGGGACCTGGCAGGGCTGGGGGCATGGTTGACCTCGATCTCTTCCAACCAAAACAACTCTGTGATCCTGACCCTACTCCCCAGGTGGAAGCCCCTGCAGAAGACCTGGCCCAAGGTGCCAGGTGAGGGCTGCTCCCAGCTCCTGTGGCTGCACTCACCTGATATCAAAGGTGGAGCCAAGGAAGGACGGGCGCTTGTACTCGGCGGTGGCTGCGGTGTAGGGGGGTTGGGGGTCTGGCTCGTTCCAGTAGAGATCCTTCTCCAGAATGGGGAGATCCTGGTGCATCTCATCCACCGCCATGAGGGAGACCTGCAGGGGACAGCAGAAGTGCCACAGGGGGTGAGCAGCGTTGAGGGGGCCAAGGGATGCTGGGCAGGAGGAAGCGAGGCAGCACGGAAGGGAGGTGAGGGGTTGGGTTTGCTCCGTGGTTTCCTGTCACTGGGGTTGGTTTTTGCATGGAGACCTTGGAGTAATTGGAGGGAAAGTGATGCTGAAGGAGATGGGGAAGCAAAATATTCACTAGGAGACAAGGGTTTGGTGTCAGGATGGGCTGAAGGTGGAAGAGTTCCTGTGTGGATGGAAGCAGAGGAGGCAGTTTTGGATAGACACAGGGTGGAGAAGCTGGGGAGAAGCATCACCCACAGGTAGCAAGGGTGTGAAATGAGCAGTCTGGGCCCATCGTGTGTGCCAGCACATGGACCAGAGCTGCAATCACTGGGTCCATGGAGATACACCAGAAGCTCTGCTGCTCTGGTGGGAGGGTGCCCTTCCCAGCACAGGTCTTGCCCCACATCCTTCCTGGAGCCCGGGATGTCTCCTGGGCTGCTAAGGGGGAACGCTCAGCTGGCCCCTTCACCTTGGTATTTCTCAGGAAGCCTCATGCTCAACTCCCTCTGGAGATCCTGGGCTCCTGAACATGCACCCACCAACACCTCAGGAAGGCACGAGGGCAACAGGGGCTGCTCGTCTGCCCCACGAGAGGGGCCTCCCCATGGGAGGTGGGTGGCCGAGGGGTGACAGGAGACCTTCAGGACAGCACTGGTGGGGTGTCCTAGACCCCAGTCCTGCCTCAGTTGCTCCTCTGGAGGGTCCTGCCCTCGCTTTACCTGCAGGTTCCTGTCGATGAGCCAGTTGGTTTCAAAGTCATCATCGTCCTCCCCAAAAGGGTTGATGAGCTGCTCGGCCACCTGCCCGTGGAGAGCACACAGCAAAGGTCATCATGGTCATGGTCATACCTGCCCTTTGCCCTGCAGGGAGGAGCCCTGTGGGGGCACAGTCCAGTGGGATGTCCTCTTCTCCCCCAAACGAGCCAGGACCAAAGCTTAGGAATGGTGGAGCTGATCTCCAGGGTGAGACACTGAGAAACTAAGGTGGTCTTGGCCATGCCCTCAGCCCCCGTTGGCTCCTCCTCCATCTGCCAGCACCTGGCACGTTGCCCATGGGTGAGAGGACACAAAGCTGGGTCCCTGGTGAGCACACCCTGGGAAAAAACCCTCGGACGGGTCAGATTCCAGCTCCACCCGTGTTCCCTTGGACTCACCTTTAACCAGCCAGCGTAGAAGAAGAACTGCAGGAAGGTGAAGACGGGCACGAAGAGATCCAGCTCGTGGCCAGGGTAGGCCTTCTCTGGGTCCAGGAACTGCCTCCCGATCAGACAGGCCAGGAAGAAGCTGTAAACAGCCACGGTCACCACCTGGGAAAGAGGCCAGGGTCACACCAGAGGAGCTGGGCTTCCCAGCATCTCCCTCAGGTCCCACCCCACCCATCTCCAGGCAGGGGGAAGCTGCTGGATCTGTGGCCTTGGGGTCAGTCATGACAGGCTTCTCCTTGGCTTTTCCCAGGGAGATCCATTTCCACTGCAGGTGTTTTTTTAATAGGCTCTTTGGCTTCTACAGAATCCCAGCCTGGTGGGGTTGGGAGGGAG